TATATATAGTACCTACTGTGTGCCAGAGACACGGGGAAGTCAGATGATTTGTCTAAGGAGACACACCTACTGTGTGCCAGAGACGGGGAGGTCAGATAATTTGTCTAAGGAAACTCACCTGCTGAGTGCCAGAGACACAGGGAGGTCAGATAATTTGACTAAGGCAACACAGCTCGTAAATGGTAGAGGTAGAGTCAGAATCCAGTCCTGGTTTTGAGTCTGTGCTTTTAACTATGGTGTACTGTAAGGTAGAGAAGCTGTTTAGCAGTACCTGATAAATAAGTGCTCAATAAATGGAAACTCTACTTGAATTTCCTTATGACTCTAAGACTTGGGATGCTTCTGTCTTCCTTGAGATCACTTCTATAGTTTTGAAAGAGCTGTAAAAACAGAGACATTAAATAGATAATTACTTTGCCCTCCCCTGTCAAATTTTATTAGAATATGGAAAAGCTTATTTAAGAAGGTTTACAAAGATCTCGGAATAAAGAAGATAGTGAACCCGTAGTTTTTTAAAAAAAATGTAGCAGTTATTGCATTTCTACTATTTGCAGGTCACTGTACTAGTCTCTGGGATAAAAGAAGTAAGATTTCTGAGACATGAGTCCTGCCTATGAAGGAGCTTAAAACCTAGTAATGGTCACAGACAGGGTGCATAACATATAAGAGAGTGGATTCAGGGCTGCCGAGCATGGCCTATGGATGGAACTGGCTAGATCTGAAGTTCTAAATTAGAATCCTGGTGTTGTCGTATCTGTGTGCTGGGGGCAAATCTCTTGAGCTCTCCAAATCTCAGTTTTTGATTTTTGTTGGTGTGGTGGTTGCTAGTATTGTTATCTAAATCTTTGAAATGGAGATGATTATGCCTACTTTATAGTGCTGAATAATTAAAATAATGCAAATGAATCACTTAGTCTGTCCTTAGCAGAGAGTAAATGTTCAGCCAATAGCTATTGCAAAACATGAAGCTTTAAAAACTTGCCCGCATGTCGCGTTCAGTGATAGACAGACTGTCACCCTCCCGAAGGAGGCAGTGGTGGAGGGGCCTTCATGTGCGATGCCAGAGCCTTGGAGAAGAGAAGTAAGCTCGGGCCCAGTTACTCCACAGAATGTTAAGCTCAAGAACAGAGGGCAGCTGCCCCTTTGGAGGCCAGAACGGGGCTTCTAACAGCGATTCCTCTACCATCTTTTTTCTTACGGAGATCCAAAAAAAAATCAAAACAGAAAGGTAGCATATATTTGGTTTCTGATTTTGTTATATGTTTAGGAACTCTGAAGAGGGGATCATGCTCTGAGCTGGAGGAATCAGGAAAGGCTTCATGGGGAGGCAGAAGTTGAGTGGGGAGGAGGAGAAAGCCCTCTGTGAAGTGACAGGGCAAGAATGCCAGGCTGAGAGGCATAAGATCTGGGGTGAGGCCTTCCTCTTTTGCTTGGGAACAGGACACATCACTGGGGCTCCCTGAGACAGTTTCCACAACTAAACCGAGGAGATTGGATTATATCCATAATTCTCAAATCTGGATGGCTGTCATATTCCTAGGGAGAGCTCCCTATTAAAAGGCCCAACCTCAGAATGCTCCGGTCTTTTTAAAAGCACCCCACATGATTTTAAGGTACAGTGGGGGCAGAGAAGCAGTGGAGCAGGTTATCTCTTAGGGTCTGTAGAATAGATGCCAAAGGGCACCCAGTCTGGCTGACTAGTGGGTACCTGGTGTGTTTGGAATGTAGGTCAGAACCATATTGTAGAGGGTTTTAAGCTGAGAGTCTATCTGTAGGCAGTAGGGCATTGATGAAGATTTTTATATAAGGGAATGTGTTGAAAGCATTGCTCTAGAAAAAGAGTGTCTTTCAGCTGTATGTACGTAGTAGAAGAAAAAGACAGAGGAAACTAGAAAAAGATTGTGAACTAAGGGTGTGAACTTAGGTGTTAGCAAACAGAACTGAGTCAGGTGCACTCCAGGCTGCACTAATCCGATAGAATTCTTTTTAAATATGGTAATTAGCAGAGAAACCTGGGTCATAATGTAGATATGAGAAGGAATGCTACTGAATTCAGAAACACGTTGAAATGCAGTTTGGGTCTCATGTGGTGGTCACGTCACTGTGTGACCAAGGAAGCTTCCATTTAGATGAACTGTCTGCTGTAAGTTATTGGGTCAAAACCACACCTATTTCATAAACTCTCACCAAACAGTGAGCAAAAAAGAGACTACAGAGAAGTACGTCTTCCCTACTGTTCCTCTCCCTTTCAGAAACAAAAACAACTACAAAATTTCCACTTGGCAATTTTTTTGGCTTTCCTAAAATCATTTAGAAATATCCATTAACGTGGCATATGCCAACCCCTGTTGGTGTCTGATGACTCTCAGAGGCTCCCAGGGAAACAGCAGAGTCATCCAGGAGCGTAGAGCCAAGAAGAGATGTCTGTCTGCCCGAGTCTTTGCATCTCGCAATACTCATATACTAAACAAAATTGCCTGATGAGATGTTTTTCTGAAAGTGTGTCCCTCAGTCCCTCAAGAGACTAATAGAGATACAGTTTTTCGTAAAGAATCCGAGTTTCCTGTGAATGACTTTGATGCTGACTTTTCCATTGTGTCACATGAATGTTAACGGACGACCTCAAGTATTTAGATTCATAGACTGTATTAAGTGGTAATTAATCTCGCTGAGTTCCATCTATAAAAGTTTTAAGTTGCCATTCTATCTGTTGTAAGTCTTGCCAGGTGAAAACCATTAAATCTTTACTATCAAATTGTTGTGGGATTTTTTCTGCTGATTTTGAAAAACCTCCAAGCTAAATTATGTCCTGAGGGACTCACTTAATTTTCAGCCTTAATTTCCTAAGTCCATACTTTCCTTTGGATTTTGGGAGGATCTCCAAATTAATGTTAATAAAGATTTATGAAATCCTTAGAGGAAGAGTTCTGCTAACCATGAAATCAATAGTCAAATTACCAGGATTAAATATTAGTTTTTATTTTAAAACATGTGCCCGTGGAAGAATTACTTCAAGGTGTATTTTGGAATAGAAACCCAAGAGTTTATAAACATAGTGGACTTCCACAGAGTCCTACAGACACGCCTTAAACGTTTGCGGACTAAATGAATGAATCAACAAGAAAGTAGCATGAAGAGAGCTGTAATGCACATTTCTTACAACCATCCAACTTTAAAGCCATGTCCCAAGGACAAGCCACTTAAGGACACAGGTGGTACACCTTGATATCGAGGGCAAGACTGCATCAGGAGGAGCCCGGGAGGAGTTGGCTAGACCCCAATGAGGAAAGGATAGCATGGACGGCCAGCTGCCGTGGGAAATAGCTAACACGTGATAGAAAATGATAGCGGTTTGCTCAGTTGAAGAGCTAAATGCAATGTCTATGCTGGAAACATGACTTTTTGTTCAACGTCTGTGTTGGAGACTCATCTTCTAGGTAAAATCGCCTTGTAACATGCTGCTTCTAGCACTTGGAACTCAAGCTTGTGGAGTCAGTATTACTTTTCCCGCTGTAGATTTTCGTCCTACAGAGACTGAAGCTATAGGGGCTTTAGAGAAGAAGCTACTCTCAGCTGCCTTCGATAATTCATGGAGCAGGTCTGCTGAAATCTCAATATGTGCACAATTTACCTGAGAATTTTCTTAAAATGCAGGGTCTGATTCATTATATCTGGATGGGGCCTGAGACTCTGCATTTCTAACAAGCTCCTAGGTGATGTTGATGATACTGGTCCATTAATCACACTTTGAGCAGCAAGGTCGTAAGAGGTGGATTTCTAAGTAGTTAGAATAAGCAGATGGGTGTGATGGAAGAGCACTGGGTCTTGACTCACAAGACTCGTTATATGCACATGATGATGCACTTGACTTTTCTGAATCGAAATTTTCACATTAGAAAAATGGGTATGATAGGACAATAATACCTGCTTCATGGGATTGTTGAGAGAATTAAATTAATATTATGGGGAAATTTATCAGAGCATATGGTACATATTCATTGCTGAATAGACGATTATTGCCCTTAAATAGTAAAAACATAAGCACACAATTCAGTATTGGTCACTGGGAAAGATGGGGGGACACTTTGGCTGTGTGCTCTCTGTAGTTCCGGGGGCTCTATTCCTCATTCCATTTCTTTTGCCAATTACAACGTCTAGCACTTGGCACTTGATCAGTGTTTGTGAAATTGTGTTAGTAGCAAAGTTGATCACTGCTTGTGTACATTTTTGGCTTCAAAGATAGTGATATCAGGATGATGATCCAGTGTTTCTCCATGGCACTAAAAGGAAAGAGAACTGTCGCCCAAAATAAGGGTAATAACTTTCAGACCCTGAGTCTTCTTTGAACCAGAAGTATAATCACTGGGAGAAGACTAAAGTGAAGAAGACAGAACCAGCCCTGATTTTTAATAAAAATATGATGATAAAATAGCTGATCATTCTTTGCCAGCCAGTAGTCACAATATTTTCTAATTTCATAAATTATGTATAAAATGTATCTCTCTTAGATAGAAAGTCAAGATTAATATGGGCTGTTGGGCTGGTTTGTCCCTGTCAGGTGGCTCAGCCTCTGTTAGGAGCCTAGCCTGTGGTGGTGCAGCTATTAGTACTAAGGCTCAGATTATCTTCCATATCCTGTAAACTGGCTCCTATGCCACCCAGCTGGTACCCCCAAAATTGCTCCTCTGAGGGTCATACTTCCTGGTTAACAAACTTGTAAAATATTACATAAACTCTCAAAAAGTGCACAGCAGGAAGGAGAAGGCAGAAAAATCAGTGAATAACTTGCAGCATCATTTACATCTTAACATCTCTTTCTGCTGAGAATTCAGAGACAGAAAAACTGTTAGCACCTTGAGACAGTCTAGTTTCATTCGTTTGCAATAAAATCTGGAGTGAATTTAATCTTTACTAAAAGAAATGAGATTTTAAAGTCTAATCAGAGGATTTAAACAAAGTGTTATTAAAAGATGGTTTTTCCCCCGTCTTAAAATCTACAGGTCCCAAGACAAAAAGGAAGAGGCTATCATCTTACTGAAGGATTCCATTAAATATGGTCCAGAGTTTGCAGACGCATATTCAAGCTTAGCTTCATTATTAGCTGAACAGGTACTTGTTTCTATTTAATTTCACATAATATTTGTTAAAAATATTACTGTTGAACATGTAAGTTAATATTACACAGATTTTGATACTGATGGTTTAATTTGTGAGTTCATATTAGACAACTAATCTCTCTGTCAGTTTTCTTCTTGACAGAAATTCCAAGCCTAGTTTTCTCATGTTGGTGTTCTCTATATAGTGTAGGTGGTCTTTAGACAAAGGTGGTCCGTTATGGGCCATTGGTATATTCTCTATCACTTTGGGACAAAATCTGTCAAGAACAATACACCATAGTTGCTGGGTTTATTACTACTTAATTATCGTTATTTTTCTGGGGAATTGCTAAAGATCTCTGAACTCAATATGGAATCAATTACCAGTAATCTTATAGATCCTGTGTCTTAATTCTTGTCAGAAGATCAAAGAGGCTCATTGAGCCGGCTCCCAAGAGATGACATTTCTCATGGTATGAAACAGGGGTATTTTGCTTCCCTGCCTTCTTTTCCCTTATGTCTAAATGATTTGATACCGCTTTCCAATGTCCTGGAAGCATGTCTGTCCCCTGTTATGGGGGAACAATATAAGTTGTCTTCTCTAAATTGATGCTCTGGTTTTGTGGACACACGTGAGTGCCCTTGATAGACTGTAGATTCTGCTGTCCTACAGCTGCCAGGTTGTCTTTAGAATCAAACTCAGCACCTTTGAAAGATGCTCTGCAGCGTTCATTGGGCTTAAATGTGACGGATGATTTGATACCGCATGTCAGGTACAGAGCAGTGCAATTTGCACTCGAAAAACTTTGGAGGTTTCACAGGAAACAAAATTAGGACATTTTATGGATATTTTAAGTGTCAGAAATGACATGCCTAGTTGTCTTGCTCTAATATTCTCCATATAGTGTAGGTGGGCTTTACACAAAAGCCAATGTCTACAGGGGGGTGATTTTCATGCATATTTTAGCACATTGTTGAAGCTAAAATGATGATGATGGTCATGTTCTACAGTGTGTGCTGGCAGGCCCCAGCTGCCTTTGGCTTGTTTTGAAGCAGATACAGTGTTACCGAACTAGGTTCATTTTTCCCCGTAGCCCAGAAAGCCAAACACCAAGACGACGAGATTACAGCAGAGAGAGAGTTTACTCACAAGGCAGCCACATGAGGAACCAAGAGCATGAACCTCAAATTCGCTTCCCTGAAAATAGGGACTCAAGGATATTTATGGGATATGGGGCAAGGTGGTCTGAAATGTGGAGAGAGGTCACTGGAGGTGATTGGAGGTGAGGTAATTGATGATCTGTGCAAGCGTGGTGAGACTTCATGCCTCTTCATAGGACCCATGTTCACAAAATGGTGGCGTTAGCATGGTCTGAGGGTGGAGTTTTTAGCCTCTTGACGTCAAAAGGTCGCCTATCGGACATCTGCATGGGCACAGTTGATGAGTTGGAGGTCTCAACTGGCCTGAAGTGGACAAGGAGTTGTAATTCCTGAAAAACAGCTCACACACCCGTTACCATGATGACCCAGGCTCCAGGGAGACGTTATCTATAGGAGCCTAGTGGGAGTCAGACAGCATATTGCCTAAGCAGCACAGTTAACCATGGGTGGGTTAAACAGCTAAAAGCTATAATCAGTAATTGCAAAAAGGAAAAACTTTAGTACCTAGATACTTAATCGTCAATGGCTGTTTGCCGCTTTCAACAGTAGGACTTTCTGGAGAACAGACTAACTCCATCATTATTCCCTGTCTCACTTCATCCTGGCTCCTTCATTTTTGTAAGAAGACCCTGTCACCCTCCCTCCCTCTGCTTGGTGGGGTGTCTTGCAGCCTCTCACGCTTGCTTCTCTCCCAGGGCCTTTGCACTAACTGTTCCCTCCATCTGCGACACTTTTCTCCTGTATATCTTTGGGTTTCCTTCCTCATCTCATGCTGGTTTCTGCCCAAACGTTACCATATCAAATGGGTTGTCTGTGATTATCCTTTCAAAATAGCTACCTCTCACTGCCCACCACATTCTCTGTCACCCTGCCGTGCCTTATTTTTCCCCATAGCATTTATCACCATCTGACATACATTTATTTGTCTATGGTCTTTCTCCCACCAGTAGAATATTTAACACCGTGAGAATGGCTGTGTCTTTTATTCATGGCTATATCCCCATGTCTGCCACATTGTATGCAACCAACACATTTTGAATGAATAAATGAATTAATATGAACTGAAGAACATGTAGTCCCTCCAAATCGGTACCTATTCTAAATTTTACTCTTCCATTATAAGTAGGGCTGGGGATGTGGGCCACACTATTTTGTAACTGAACTGTGCCTCAGCATGATGCTCTTGTCCTACACTGAGGAACAGTATGAGGAACAGCCATGTGAGATGGCTGAGGTTACTCATAACCATAGGGTCAGGGATGGGGTCGAGGCCAGCACCTACTGTATCATTCCGTGGTTTCTTTATGAGGGCTCGAGGGAGAAATTTCTCTCCTACCTCAGTATTAGGAAAGGCTGTGCTTCTCCTGAATTATAAGGTTTTTGTTTAATTTTTAATCTAATGCATGAAAAATCTTGCAAATGCTAGAAAGATCAACTCTATTTCCACCCCACCTCCACCCCCACCTCTACCCGGCAACCATCTGGACTCTGTAGTCTGCTTTTCTGCGTGTGCTGTTTTTACTCCTGGGTTTATCATTTTCCTTAATAATTTATTTTATTCAATTTATGTTCTCTGTTTTTGAAAGCTGCTTCAATTTCTTTGTGGAATAAGGAGGTATAAGTAGGTGAATAAATAAATAAAGCATTGTGTTAATAGTTCCCATTCGTACCTTTTTTTCACAACTCACCAGGACAGATAATAAACATTAAATTGCTCTTCTTGATGAAAATTACCCTTCAGGTAAATGACAGTATCACTCACCTAATAGCAGTGATAATGCAGCATGTTGTTTTTTAGGAGCTCTTTACAGATATTCACACAGTTCCATCTTCCTGGAATGCCATCTTTTCTTTCTCCCTCTCCAAATCCTCCCCATTTTTGAAGATCCAATTCAACTTCCACTTCCTCCCCCAACATTCTTCCACCTCCCCAGCTCATGCTGAGTTATATTTCTTAAGAGCTCCTAGAACATTTTTGTGAACACGCATCAGCTCGCAAATTAATCATATATTTTTATTTCTTGAATTTGTATCTCAAACTATAATTTAAATAGTTTTCAGGTTTATTTTTCTCGCAAGACTGCAAGTTTCTTGAAGAAAAGCAGTGTCTTCTTTGTATACCTATTCCGTCTCTAGGGTTTAGATAGTTCACTGTAGAATGCAGGCATTCATACAGCATCTCTTGGCTCAAGTTACTTTGGGATTCAGTTACCCTGTGCTGTGCTGTTAAGAGCATTTGATGTGAACTGGGAGACCCATTTCTAGACTTCACTTTATAGTAACCTGATATGCAGACTTGAGCAAGGCGTACCTTACCTCTCTTGGCCTCAGTTTCCATATCTGAAAATTGATAAATATTCTAAATTATCGTCACTGTATCTTATGGCTGTGACATTTTAAGAGTGTTTAAAACTATCTCCTTTAACATCAACTAAGTGCTAATGAATATCTTAATAAATAACTTAAGGCTCCACTGTAATTACTGCTATTGTTTCTATACGAAGTATTAATTCATTAATATTATGAAAAGTGATTTGCCTTAATAAATAGCCGAAAGTTTTATTTATATTCCTTTTCTAAATTGATGAACTCCAAGTTCATGAAAAGTTACTATTTTTAAAAAGATTGAGATGTTCAGTGACCTTGAAATTTACTTTAGTCCATTCTGCAGCATCTTCCTATTAACAAATTTTACAGAAGGTAGAAGATTTAAAAGATCAACATACGTACTTTTTCCTCAGTTATGTTTAAGAAGTGGCAGATGCCTAATTTAAAATTAATTATGTGATAAATTTAATTTTTGTGAGCCACATTGGCAAGTTGATGTAAAGTGATTGCGTGTCCCACAATTGAAGTTACAAACAATTTTTAAGAAAAGCAAATTATGGCTACAACCGTGATCCTTTCTTATATACAAAGGTCACGTCTTTTGCCAGCCTTTCCTGCTCCAGCTTTGAATGTAAGATGCCATGAGCCTAGGAATGTAATTGAAAGATTGAAAGGTTCTTTCTTCTGCTCCTTTAGGCAATTGATTTTAACATCAGAGAGAGAGAGAGAGAGAGAGCAGCTGCAATGGAGGATTGCCTGCCCTCCCTGACTTTCAACATCTTCATGTTTTGAATTCTTTACTAAAAGAATGCTTCAGATGCACAAGCAAGGGAGAGAGAAATGTTAGAGAAAAATCCACCTGGCTCCACATTCTTTGGTGCAAATGAGTTCATTTCTTTCTTGGTGGCCCAGTCTTATTTAATAGCATTCCAGAATTTCAAATACTCAGAATATGTGAAAGCAATGTTCTACAAACCTTGGTCAGTCTGTACATGTTTGTGAAGCCCTCCCCTCACTTAACAGAACATCTTCCAGTACCGTCATCTGTGCACATGCTCGGCCCATGCTTACTGTGTTTGTGGGCCAATCTGATGTAAGAAAACTCTTTCCTATACTGAGCTGAAATCCACAGTCCTGTAATTTGCTCCTGTTGGCCCTGGCCCAACAGAGAGGTTGTTGAGCACAGCTTATGAGCACAACTATCTTGTCACTTCTCTAAAAAACTTTTCTAAGCCAAATTCTTTTCTTTCAACTTGTTTCTAATTTACCCTGGTTTCCAAATACTTGCCTTCTGGTCTTGTTGCTTTGCATGGCCTCTGGATAGTCGATTTTCTCTATGAGAATATGACTCCCAAATTGAACTGGCTTCTTGAACTACAGTAATTTCAGGGTAGAATAGAAATACTCTCTTCCCTGGCTTGAGACCCTATATATCTATTACCTGACACTCTAAAATGAATAATATTAGTTTATCATCCACATGATGCTCTGGCTCAGATTGGAGATACAGTCAACCGAAATCCC